AAAAAGACAAAAGCCACCCTTTACCTTATGATTTTTATCATAATACTGATACCAAGCAAAGATAAGACAGCACAAAATTAAATTAAGTGGTTTTCACTTATGATGCAATCATATTAAATAAAATATCAGCAAATAGAATCCCAGTATTAAAAAGGATAACACCATGGCCAAATATAGCTTTCATATGAATAAAAATGACTCAACTTTTAAAAATACATCAGATGTATATAATCCCGAATTGGTTATAATTATATTTAACAACTAAARGGAAAAACAATTCATTTCATATAAAAAGCCTTACAGGATTGGATAGACTTGTTCCTAACTCATAGGCAACTTATCAGAAAATGAGAATATACACCATATTTGTGATGACTTGTTAAAAATATTAGAGGGTATGATTAACCAAAGCAGTGGCCATAGGACAAACAGGATGAAAAGGGAGACAGGTTAGCTTGATGGAGAGTTGTAAACACCTGCCACTCAGGGTGGACATAAGGGTGGTAGGAATAAAATCCTAGCAGTTGGGAGGATTGGGATCCTGTAGGCAAGAGTGGAAGGCATGGAATAGGAGGAGAGTAATTAAGAAGACAGGTGGAGTGAGAAGAGAACCAAGAACAGAGCACCAGGAACATCAAAAATAAGGGACCAGAGAAGAGTGTGGGAAGGATGAGCCAGAGGAACAGTGGGAGAATACAGAGAAGCCTAGGGGGACACACCACTGAAGAGGAGTGGGTTATTAGAGTCAAAGTAGAGACGAAGGATTTGGGAGTCACTGGGTTTGCTAATTAGAGGCTGCCCGTGACCTCAGTCAAAGGTGTGGTGAGAATCAAAGGCAGTGTGGGTGGGCAATCAAGGAGTAGGAAGGAGAAGCAGAAAATGAGCGCTTCCCCCAGGAGAGAGAAGTAAGCTATGCGTAGCCACCTGGAGATAGAGTTGAAGTTCTGGGGAAGCATTATTAGGTTGTAGTGAAATCGCTATTTTTGTAAGGCCCACCGGAAGCAGCCAGTGGAGAGCAGAGACTGGGGATACATTAGAAAGGAGACCATGGATGATGAGCAAGCTCCTGCTGGAAGCTGGAGGAAAGAGATGCTCATAAAAATAGCCAGATATTTTACCACAGGACAAAAAAAAAAAAAAAAAAAGACAGGAAACCATTTATAATGTCACCCATCCATTAAACTCAATAAGTGTTGTTGGATTACTACCATGTGCTGGTGCTGGAAATAAGGGGAAAGAAATCCCTAACCTGTAAACTCAGTAACTTAAGGCAAAAATGAAACTAAATAAAAAACAGATAAAAGTTTGGCCCCAGTTAGGCCAGGATTCAAGGAGCCGTGGTTTTAGCAGAAGTTAGTGTGAGAGAATAATTTTATGTCAATGACACGTTTTAACTATGAATGATTAGAGGCGTCTCCAGCAGACATCTCCAGCACTCAATGCTTTTTAATAAAGACAAGTAATTACAGGTCAAACACAATGGTGAAGTCTCCTTAATATCAATAAACTTGATATCTGAACCTTCAACCCTCTGAATAGCAAACCACTGCTTCTTTTGCCTCTCCCTTATCTCAACCAATTCCACTAGATGCAGCCTAACCAGACTGAATCCATCAAGCCAGGCTTGGTGCTAATCCCATCACAGCCCTTAACAGTTATGAATTAAAATCACCTGTCATGTGTATCTAAAAAGAACAACAACAACAACAAAACATCACTGGTTTTATTGGTTTTGAAAAAGAAAAAGAATAGTAGAGGAGATATGTTCTGACCTTCATCCTGAAACAAAGGAGAAATGCTAAATTCATGAATAGGGATTCAGAGACTGTTTGAACAGAAAGGGCCTTCAAAGTCATTGAGTGGGCATTTCTTATTTGACAATACGAAACTGTCCATCATGAGGCAAGTTGATGGATACGACCCAGCTGTTTTGAAACCTCTCCAGCATATTTTTTTCTCATTATATCATGTTACCATAGTTCTCAGTGAGTTAAATTTGCAAATAAATGATGTTTGTAGTGACACTTGTTTATTTGGGAAGATACAATTTGTACGAATATCCCATGGGGAATGAATAAATGAGTGCTGTACCAAAGCAGATTTAAATATGTGGCTACAAATCTTTTTTAAAAATTTTTTTTTTATTCTAATTAGTTATATATGACAGCTGAATGCAATTCTTTTACACAAATGGAGCCTAATTTTTCATGTCTCTGGTTGAATACAGAGTAGAGTAACACTATTTGTGTTTTCATACATGTTTAAGGAAATGATGTCCATCTCATTCCACTGTCTTTCCTACCTCCATGTCCCTCTTCCTCTCCTTCCCCTTTGCCCTATCTAAAATTCATCTATTCTTTCCATGCTCTCCCCATCCCCATTATGAATCAGCATCCTTATATCAGAGAAGACATTTGGCATTTGTCTTTTTGGGATTGGCTAGCTTCACTTAGCATTATATTCTCCAACTCCATGCATTTACCTGCAAATGCCATAATTTTATTCTCTCTTAATGCTGAGTAATAATTCCATTGTGTATATATACCACATTTTCTTTATCCATTCATCTACTGAAGGGTATTTAGGTTGGATCCACAATTTAGCTATTGTGAATTGTGCTGCTATAAATGTGGCGGTGTCCCTGTAGTATGCTGTTTTTAAATCCTTTGGGTATAAACCAAAGAGTAGAATAGCTGGGTCAAATGGTGGTTCCATTCCCAGTTTTCCAAGGAATCTCCATACTGCTTTCCAGATGGGTTGCACCAATTTGCGGTCCCACCAGCAATGTAAGAGTGTGCCTTTCCCCCCATGTCCTCACCAACCCTTATTGTTGTTTGTATTCTTAATAGCTGCCATTCTGAGTGGGGTGAGATGAAATCTTAGAGTAGTTTTGATTTGCATCTCTTTAATTGCTAGAGATGTTGAACATTTTTTCATATATTTGTTGATTGTGTATCATCTTCTGATATACCTTAAAGTAAAAAGTTCTGAAAAGTCACCTTTGTTGTTTGCACTATGGATTAATCAGCTTCCCCCTGCCAACATCCACTTTTTTTTTTTAGTTGTTGATGGATCTTTATTTTATTTGCTTATTTATATGTGGTGCTGGGAATCGAACACAGTGCCTCACACGAACCAGGCAAGTGCTCTACCTCGGAGCTACAACTCCAGCCCCCCAACATCCACTTTTAAAAAATAGTTTTGAATTCACAGCAAATTTGAGCAAAAGGCACAAAGATTTTGCATATAATCCCTATCCCAAGCATGCTTAGCCTTTTCAGTTATCAAAATCTTCCACTAGAGTGGTTCATTTATTATGACTGATGATGTACATTGACATATCATCACCTAGAGACCATAGCTATCATCAGGGTTCACTCTTAATGTTTTACAGTCTGTAGATTTGGACAAATTTATGATGTGTCTCCACCATCATAGTATTGCATAGTGTAGTTTCAATGCCCTAAAAAAATCTGTGTTCTGCCTATCCATCATTCCCTCCCCCCTAAACCCTGGCAACAACTGATCTTTTTTTATTTTTTTTTTTTTTTAACTGTCTCCATAGTTTTGCCTTTTCCAGGATGGCATATAGATGGAATCATACAGTATGTAGACTTTTTAGATTGTCCTCTCTTAGTAATATGCATTTTAAGGTTTCTCCACATCTTTTCCTGGTTTGATAGGTCATTTCTTTTTATTGCCAAATAATGTTTCATTGTCTAGATGTTTCACAAATAGCTACTGACCATTCCGTTTTTACCCTCTATCCCTTTCAAACTGTCTGGTGATTAGAGGGGAAAAAAACCCCTGAAATTACACTTAAATTAAGGTTTGTATATTTCTGCACCATGGATTAATCAGCTTCCCATGGATAATTATCCATGTTTCACTTTACCAAAGAAAAAATGAACTTCAATTAGAATATAAAGTAATTCTCCCTAAAAAATATGGGAATGAAGAGATCAGTCCTAGGTATTGTGACTGTATTTATCTCTGAGCAAAATCTTTCCATTAGGATGCCTGAGACTCAGATGAAATATACCGGGGGTATATTAAGTTTTATTCTAGCATTTCGGGGAAGAAAGAAAGGAAGGAAAGAAATATGAGGCAGAGTGATTGAAACAGAGAAGACTGAGAAAGACTCTCTGAGCAAGATATTTTTCTTCCCTTTACAAGTTAGAAGCTACTGAATAATTCATGCCAAGCATGGAAAGGCTGTCTTTTCCCTGGGTGATGTATAACTGAGCAGGAGAGAGCTTCGAGTGGGTTCGCCACATCAGTCACCACTCTTGCTTCTAAGCACAGGGTGCTCTCCTCTTGAGCACAGCTTCTGCTTTTGCAGGCAAGCATCCTAGCTGCTGCTGTTCTGCCTGCTTGCCCACCCGTCTGGGCTTGCAGCCTGCCACTTCACTTTCGCCAGCCCTGCTGCCAGATGAGAAATCTCGCTGCTGGTTCCAGGACCATGTGTGTAGATGCTGCTTGGGAGAACTGGGGCACTTACTCCTGGCACTGATCTCAGCTGAGTTTCTCCTGTTGTTTTCTGGACCACAGATGCTGCTGAGGAGGTATTTTGGGGCATCCCTCTTTCTGCTATCGCCAGTTAAGGACCAGCCCCAAAGCAAGGTACCCTCCACCCTTCCCTCTGGCATTTTTCCCAGCTGGAATATCTTTGCTCTCTCCCTAACAAGGGGCTCCAGCTGACAATATGCCAAGTGTGTGTGTGTGTGTGTGTGTGTGTGTGTGTGTGTGTGTGTGTGTGTGTTGGGTGAGAAGAGCAGACTGCTCTGTCCTAGAACAGAGCAATGTAAAGTCTGTAGCAGGTAAAGCGGCCTTTCCCCTGGCTCTGGAGACATTTCCAAGGCAGGCACCTGTCATCTGCCACCCCCGTTCTCCTCCAGCTCCCTCTCTCCCCCTCCCCCAGCCCATTATTCTGCTTCAGCCTTTTGTGTCTGTGGCAGAGGGCTGAAGAGATGTCTTTGCCCTCCCGGCAGGCAAGTGTCAAGATGGGCCGCTCTGCAAGAAGCCGACGCTAGGGCGCGAGGTGTGAAGAGTTGGCCAGAATGACCAACTCCTCCTCTACGTCCACCTCCTCCACCACCGGGGGATCCTTGCTGCTGCTCTGCGAGGAAGAGGAGTCGTGGGCGGGCCGGCGTATCCCCGTGTCCCTCCTGTACTCTGGCCTGGCCATTGGGGGCACGCTGGCCAACGGCATGGTTATCTATCTCGTGTCGTCCTTCCGAAAGCTGCAGACCACCAGCAACGCCTTCATTGTGAACGGCTGCGCCGCCGACCTCAGTGTCTGCGCCCTCTGGATGCCACAGGAGGCGGTGCTGGGGCTTCTGCCCGCAGGCTCTGCGGAGCCCCCCGGGGACTGGGACGCCGCTGGGGGTAGTTACCGCCTACTGCGGGGCGGGCTGCTGGGCCTCGGGCTCACGGTGTCCCTTCTGTCCCATTGTCTCGTGGCCCTGAACCGCTACCTGCTCATCACCAGGGCGCCTGCCACCTACCAGGTGCTGTACCAGCGGCGCCACACGGCGGGAATGCTGGCGCTGTCCTGGGCGCTCGCCCTGGGCCTCGTGCTGCTGCTCCCGCCCTGGGCGCCGCGGCCGGGAGCCGAGCCACCGCAAGTCCACTACCCAGCGCTGCTGGCCGCCGCGGCACTGCTGGCGCAGACGGCGCTGCTGCTGCACTGCTACCTGGGCATCGTGCGCCGAGTACGCGTCAGCGTCAAGCGGGTCAGCGTGCTTAACTTCCACCTGCTGCATCAGCTGCCCGGGTGCGCTGCAGCCGCTGCCGCCTTCCCGGCCGCCCCGCACGCGCCGGGTCCGGGCGGTACGGCACACCCCGCACAGGCCCAACCCTTGCCTCCTGCGCTGCAGCCGCGGCGGGCGCAGCGGCGTCTCAGCGGCCTGTCGGTGCTGCTGCTCTGCTGCGTCTTCCTGCTGGCCACACAGCCGCTGGTGTGGGTGAGCCTGGCCAGCGGCTTCTCGCTGCCAGTGCCCTGGGGGGTGCAGGCGGCCAGCTGGCTCCTGTGCTGCGCCCTGTCGGCGCTCAACCCGCTGCTCTACACGTGGAGGAACGAGGAGTTCCGCCGCTCGGTGCGCTCTGTGCTGCCGGGTGTTGGTGACGCGGCTGCGGCTGCCGCTGCTGCCACAGCCGTGCCTGCCATGTCCCAGGCACAACTGGGCACCCGCGCGGCCGGCCAGCACTGGTGACCCGGCCAGGGCAGGAGGGAGCGAAGTTGTGGGCTTCCAACATCTTTGGCCACCATCGTCTCCTTCCCTTGTAAGGTATCCCCTGCCCCAGCAAAGACTCCCACTGGGAAGCCCAATAAACCCGTGCGAAGATTTCTCCACCACCCTGGTGCGCTGATACCTGAACCAAGGTCTTTCTTAAATGGGGTCCCGAAGTCATTGTGGACGGCCACCTTATTTTTACCCTTTGTTTTTGTGTTTTAGAGAATCCTTCAGTCAACACACTGGAGACTGCAAGAACTTGCAAGACTGACGTTTAAAAAGAACCTATTAATTTATTTCAACAGTTTGTTTTTGAAAAAGAGCTGTCATAACATATAACCCTTCCTACCTTCATTGTCTTATAATATATATGAAGCGCCACAAGTGTGCATGAGCCAAAGGAAGTAATAATGAGGAAGGAATAATATGCACAAAATATTTGAGAAAGTAACCTATCTCTGATAATGCTTCCTTCTGTTAAAGTTTAGTCTTTGTATATTAATCTGGACGAGCGAAGCTACAGATGTGCACACCGGCATGAGTTGCCATTAAGACCTCAAGCCCTTTATTCTTAAAAGGGCTTTTATAAAGTCATTCTTGAATGAGAGTCTTAGCCAGTGAAGAAAAACTACTAAAGTTATTATTTTACACTCCTTTTTTTTTTTCACCTCTAAGATTGAAAATCAGCATTGACAGTTAAAGTGAAAAATTTCGGGTTTGTTACTAGTTGGTCTGAGCCAGAAATGGAATTTTGAAAACAAACAAGAGGATTATCTATTTTAGGTACCAGTTTCACATTTTCTAAAGCATGCACACTTGTTGTTACCCTCATTTTGTAACCGATTTATTTGCCTTATGAGTGTGATTGCAGCTTTGAACATTCTGTACTATAATGGTTGCTAAGGAGAATAAGTCCTTCTGTTTTCTCTTTAACATTTAAAATATCTCAATGCACATGATATAATGAAACACTAATAATATCATAATTGCATAGCTAATATTAGCTGCTATTGCATGCTCCTAGATGCTAGAACTCATTGGGCATGTGGTATACTAAAGCAATACCCATTAGACAAGGACATTTTACTTCTTCCAGACACCAGAAGAAATGACCTTCAATTATTTGAAAAGAGACACAGAGACACCTCTGGCTACCTAGAGTTCTTCTTGTCTTGACCTAATTTTTGAGAAAACTCCCAAAGGGACTTTATCTCACAAACAGAACCACAGTCAAGAAGGATTAATAATATGGTTTGACTCTGCAAAGCCATCTGTGCTCTTTTAGAGTTTAAACAAGCCACACATTATAAAGTAACACTGTTTTATGTAGTTCATATATATTATCATGACATTTAAAATTAATATCATATCTGTTGAAAGAGGTGTAACAAACTCAGTTATATATAATGAACAGTTCATATGGGACTGTGTTCTCAAATTTATTATTTGAGGGTCGTCATTTTCATCATTGGTTTACTAAATTTATTTAGAAATGTTAGAAATGCAAAATCATGTGAAATTACCTTATAAAATTAAAATGGGAAGAAAGTGATTTTAATAATCTTAGACTGTTAACTACATCAAATCTGGGACCATACAGCCTCAAGTAACAGCGTAATTCAGGAACAAAACCAATTTRCTTGTTGCACTCTCGTACATTTGAATAATTGTGGGGGTCCTAGGAAACTYTGACATGTTCATAGTAGAACAAAATAAAACAATTATGTTCACCACCAATAATAAATCAGCAGTCATTTTATTGATCTGTCCCTTGTGCATGCACCATTTCTTTCTTACTAAAGTTTTATCTGTTCCCATTTTCCTTGATTCAGATATTTCATTAAAGTTCAAACAACTATTCTTTGGAGTTTTTTTCCTCTTCGGTCTCTCCTTTTCTTGTCCCCCACTCCCAGACCCTATAATAGAGAATAACTTACATTTTATGTTATTCCAAAGCACTAATGATGAAAATAAAGTAAATTCTTTTTATGGGCTGCAATTTTWATTTTTGCCTTCTTAAAATATTTCTACTTAAATAAGTCCCGTATACCAGCTTTAAAAAGAAATAGGTATAATTTCCCTTCTGTAAGTATTGGGGAAAAGGCTGTCATAAGAGAGAGCTGAGGATTTTACATTTGGAGGGCCTGGGGTACACTTTCTTTAATCTCTGTCAAAAAAGGTCTTCTTTTAATTAGGACTTTATCCTTGTGATACAAACAATTTTTCCTGCTGTTCCTGTAAATGTTTGCCACACATATAAAGTCTATACCCGGTAGCGTGTGTTGCTTCAGGCTAGCGCTGAGAATCTCTTCTTCTGGCTCCATGCCACATGGGAGACCTACTTTAGATWAATTTACTAGTAATTAACTCCACAGGACTGATTCGCTTTTAATTTCAAAATAGCAATAATGTGTCTAAAAATGCCTTAGTAGAGCACTAGCTGTGAATATTGGAGTTATTGCTTTGACAAATTAAGTTAATGGAGATTGTGTTCTTATTTAAATGAAACCACATATTATCCACTCAGGAATTAAAAAAAAAATCCTACTTGCTGTTGTGAGCTGCCCTACTTAGTCTTTTCTATTTTTTTTCTTTTATGTGCCTGTTAAGACATATACCAACCGACTTCCTTCCTGTGCATTTTAATGGTAAATTCTAGGATGCAATTGGTATTATTCCTAGCACATCCCTCTTTCCAAAAAGAAGTATGTGAATTAGCAAAATTCTGTTTTGTACAGAGTGGTCTTTGCTTTACAAGCTACAAGGTAAGCTCCAGTTTAGACAAGGCTCCCTTGGTGTCAGAATCAGGAGAAAAGGTTTCTTCAGTGGGGAAATAGTTCTTTTCAGGAGGATACCTGGGAGGATAGGATGGAGTCGAGGAAGGTAGAAGGAGCTTACTTTAACCCACTGACAGAGAAAGATCTTGAAAAGATATGTGCAGTAATAGAACTAAGGATGCAGTGCAAATTCAGTGTTTCATCGGTGGCCTTTATTTCAGTGTTCAGGATTCAGACAATGCTTGCCTGGCTCTGGCAGTCCTACCAGCTGACTTGACAAAGGGCATCAGTGACATGCCTTTAAATTTAAGAACACCCAGAAAAAGCATAGTGTCCCTTACTTTTGAAGCCTGTCCTTAGGGTGGATGGGTTATGGGATGAGAATAGAGCTACACATGGAGCTCTTGGTCTGTAGGAAAAAGGAAGGAACTTTTCTTCCCTCCTACTTTCCCTTTTAATGTCACAAGGGCCCTCATGCATATGTGTGTTACTCGGCCCACAGGTCCAAGCTCCACGCTCATTTCCCTCTCTGCCAGCCACCTTATCCATCTTTAGGACCTAGTGATGCATACACAGGGCCACCCTGGAAATGGCCTTGAGCCAGTAGGGTGAGAGATTCCAGGGTTTCAAACACCAGCACCTGTTGAGTGAAACACAGGCTCTGGGGTGGCACATTTCCTTGGAATTCCTTTCCTTGTGGGAAGGGTGGTTCAAGGAGAGTGGAGGCAGGCCTTTTAAATTATGAGACTCAAGTTGGGACCCCAGTTTCTTTAAGGGCAGTACTGTGTGTACATAGGCCTTCTCCAAGGACTTCTTAGACAAGTACCCCACACAGGGTTTCTGCAGATACTTATCATATCAGACCTAATGCAATAGGTAAGGATGATGGGGATAAGAGAGTAGGAAGAGTGCAGATGAGACATTGATTGTTGTTGAAGGACAGTGATGGGTATGTGGGGATACAGTGCATGGTTTTCTCTACTTCTGGGTATTGTTGCAAATTTTTATAATGGAAATTTTTAAAATGTCAAGCAAAAACCAAAAAAAAAAAAAGAAAGAAAGAAAGAAAGAGAAAGAAAGAAATGGAAAAGAGAGGAAAAGAAAGAATAAAGGAAGAAAAGTAACTAGTGCGGGGGTTGGGGTTGTGGCTCAGTGGTTAGAGTGCTCACCTAGCACAGACAGGGTGCTGGGTTCGATCCTCAGTACCACATTAAAAAAAAATAATAAAGGTATTGTGTCCAACTTACAACTAAAACAAAATATTAAAAAAAGAGAAAAGTAACCTGTGCCTTAGGTTATGTAAAAATTAAAGGGAGAAGCTGGAATTCAAACCTTTGACTCCAAAGCATGAGGTTGTAGCTACCCCAATGTGGGATAAAAATCAGAATTTTTAAAGTTAATGTGGAATTCCCTTCATCATGAAGCCATTCCCTAAATTCCCAAATCTACCTCTCCCTTACTTACATGCATAGCTACAGTCTAGTTGGTGTAGGTGCTGCCTTCTGAATTTGGCTCATTCAAGGGCCTTCTAGGGTTGTATCATCTTCTCACAGTGTACCCCCTCCATTCTCCCATCCATAGAGGCTCCTTAAGTTTCTACSTCCTCATTGGAACTCCCCACCAGCCATAAATAACTTCTTCCTCCATAGAACCCTTGCACCACTTGGATCTTACCACATATTTCCTCTTTGTGTTATCTGTTTCTTAATGTGTGTGTCTTGTCTTCAAAACTAGATAGGAAAGGCTTTGTTTCTTCTAGGTTTATTTTTCATCCCTTTGAATTTTTTAACATCAAATACTCTTTCATATTTTTGTAATAATCTATCTGAAATACACTATATATTTAATATGTGTTTGTAATTGATGGCAGTATTTTTTTTTCTTTTTTTTGCTACCAAGAATTGAACCCAGGGATGCTTAACCACTGAACAACATCCCCAGCCATTTTTATTTTTTATTTGGAGACAGGTTCTCACTAAATTGCTTAGGTCTCTGCTAAATTGCTGAGGCTGGCTTTGAACTTGCAATCCTCCTGCTTCGGCCTCCTGAGCCACTGGGATTATAGGCATATGCCACCTGCCCCTGAGTGACAGCAATAATTTTTTTAAGAAAAAAAGATTTGGTTTTCTTTCCCTTGCACGTTAATTTTTCTCTTAATGAAGTAGACCCAGGAATAAACCCTGGTTTCCAACTTATATCTTGCCAAAGGATATTTAGGTATCCCATAATAATGTATGGGATGATGAGCCAGGTGTATATATTACATGTTGTG